CGTCGGATAAATCGATCCTATATCAGTCGTGTAAGAAGCATCCTTTTGCCCTGCCAATTTCGGGGTCGGGACTCGAGACGGTTCGTAACAAAATGACGTCTGCCAGAGAGTTACCTATATACTATCGGCCTAGCCGTTAAATTAAATATTAAATTACATCAGTACTTTGAGAATTATCGCGCGGTTACAATCGAATCATCTGATTTCCCATCCCGATCTATCGCGCTCGCTCGCCGAGCGCACGGGGAGACGCGATCGATCGATCGATCGTTCGCGCGGGGTGCTCTCGTTCGACCGTGTTTCCATTGTGTTGGACGAAACGCCGCCCGCGGAACCGGGCGCTCGCCGATTTTCTTATGACCGAGGGGACAGGCACAACATAACGAGGATCGCATGATCGACGCGCGTGATTCGTACGAGTAACATAATGGTCGTCGTGGTGATACGTACGTATATGTACACGGAGAGTCAACTGTTTACAATAAATAAGTCTTTAATAAATATACTACTAGATAGAGAAATAGGTCATAGTTCCTACAATGATTCGTAGCGAGGTGTGTGATCGGGTGAAGTCATTCTTGGCGGGTGCGTCTCTTCCGGGTGTCGCGAGATTAATCTGAGGAACCATCGTCCGGAGATTCAAGGAGACGCGCGATATGAATCCGGACGAGATGGTCCGCGACCGTGCTGCTGTTTGCGATTGAAGAAAAGAAATGCCGTTCTTTTTTTTTGTTTTATTCTGAAGTACAATGCGCAACCGGGCATCGAGCTAAGCGACGACCGGACACCGGGGGCTCCCTTCGGTCGCGGAATGCCGGTCCTCGGTCGCTCTTCACGCGAGAAATCTCGATTATTGCCGTGTGGCTTGTTCGTCATTCAAAGGCATATACCTGTTCGGGCAGACTCGAATTATTGCTATAGTCTCCGTCGTGTCTTCGTGAAACAATAAATAATTTAGGAAGCTTGCGGCGCTCGCCTTCCGACGCGTTCTCCGCCGGTCAACGACGCGTTTTCCAAAGTTTCTCCATCGAATTTCGAAGCCGTGGTTCGCGCGAAACACTTCGAGCAATGGCGGAGAACGCGTTGAACGAAGGGATTAAATTAACGAGAACGGATACGACGTTGCATGGGAGTACAACGCGCCTAGACAGATACATCGTTTAATTTCTCATGTTTGTGACACGTTCGTTTGGCGCGGAACAGAAGGCGGAAACTCGATTTCAGATGTTCGCCTGTTGTAGTAGAACGATTTCGCGATTCGCATTGATTCTTTTCACAGGCGCCTTAATCGGTCTTATCGTATAATTACAAATTCGTTGGCAGTCGAATCTTGCCGTCGTTAAAATACAATTTTTCGCTTAACATTAATGTTACGAGTAAATATGTCTAACAGCGTAATACTCTTCTTAGCGATTTAATACTTTGGATCCTTCTCTAAGAACCGTACGAAATTACTTCACCGTTACGGGAAACTCCATTTATCCGGAAACTCGCGCGAACATATGGTTCTCTCGCGACGAGCAATTCGACATTCGTTTTTGCTCGCGTGCGTCTCTATTAAAAAATACTTTCGCATAACAGACGGTCTTGACCACCGTAGAAACAGTTACGACTTTACTACGACGGGAAGTCGAATTTCTTTAATATACAATCGTCGCTGGCTTCGCAGTCGGCCGGCTCTCAGCTTTTAGTTTTACTCTAAAAGGAACATTTTCATTCAATTAAAGTACCACCAACGTAAAAAATAGTAAACGCTATCGTATCTCGTTGTATATTTCGTCTATAATCCTCTAATCGTTAACAATTTAACTTGGTCTCTTTCGTTTGCTCCGTCGCTATTATTAATCCTAATCGAAACAGACCTGGGTATCGAATCCGCGAAATCATTCGAATCGTTTCACTGGAATCATCGATCGCGCTTTATTTATTGCTTCGCGTCTTTCTTATTGCTTTCTGTGTTCAACGTTCTCCGACATCTCGTTTACCGTCGCACGCTCGCGGGAAAGTGATTCGTTCCTGAGAAGATTCAGCAAGGGTTTGGAAGGAAAACAACCCGTTTGGTGCATCCTTTCTGGATGTTAAAAATGGTATGATTAACTTTAAGATAGTAATAGGTAGACTGCGGATTTTAAGCGTATTTCTGATGAAATCGACTACATCGAAAACGAAATTGTAAGAGCGTTAAAAGGATTTGAAAACACAGTAATTTCTCCTTAATTCGCGATCAGATTGCGTACAAAACTGGACAATTTGGGAAGAGAAAATACGATTACTCGAGCCTCGTTGCACATTTTCATAGTTGCCGATTATCAACAATTATAAAAACGAGCCGCGAGGCTGGAATAATCGTATCTCCTCTTCCCAAATTGTCCAGTTTTGTGCGCAATCTCGGCGCGAATTGGAGAGAAATCACTGTATTTTGATACGATGTGCAGCACATCGGAATTATCGGAAAGGGAAATATATTTCCATTCGATTTACGAACGACAATCGATTCGGATAATTCTTATCTGGTGTAAACATCCACGGTATAATAATGTAATACGTAACAACAATTGTTGGCGTGAATTAACAACTTCTGAACTTTCAAAGAACTGCACCGATTCGTTCCGAGTTATTTCCACGCGAGCAAAAACCTAAACGAAAGTGGGAAATACGAAGGCGTTGCAAAAAGGCTTCCTACATCGATTTCTCTTTTTCAGTACTAGTTACAGTTTCAGTCACGATTTTAGGGCACGCCTGAAACCGCGGAAGATAGCGAACCCTCGCGTCGCGTCGAGGAAATGAAGGTCCCAAGTCTGGTTCGGTTTTTCTCTGGTGTCTGAACTGTTAGTCCCGTTATCTTAATCGTCGCATCCCCTTAGTTCGACGTCGTGTATTGTCTCGTAATTCTTACTAAAATACTATATGCTCGTGCTTCTTTTTCCCGCGAAACGCTCTGGATGGTTTTCGCAATAGTTTCCATCGTCGCCGAAGGGAGAGAAGAAGGCAAGGACAGGAGGAAGGGTCCAGGGACTCGTTTGAAAGGTACGGCGCCTGGAAGCGCAACGAATTGAGAAAACGTTTTAGCCAACGAGCGGACTTTTAACTGACCGCTGGTTAATCGTAATCGATGAGTTATGCTCGCGAGCGTTGCAGGCGCCGAAATGGACGAAATGGAGAAGGTATCGGCGAGAATACGGCTACGCAAGGCCAATCGGTGGATTAATTCGTTATTTGTGAAATAATTCGATCTGATTACATAGAACCGCTGTTAGGAAAAATGAGCCGAGAGCGGGAATCGGGCTCGTCTGGTCGTTTCGTTAATTAGCTCATTGACTGTACCCGCGAACGACCCGGAATTCGGAGGCCCGAGCTTCTGCCCCGACGAGAACCGTTCGAGGAGTAAATTCGAGTTTCGTGCTCGTTACTATCGGTCGTTCGATGCGACCTTTCCGTACCAAAGCGCATGATTATGTCTTTCATAGTAACGAGGGGCTCGCGGTGAATCGTCTCGACACGTTTTTCCGTGACGTCCACAACGCTTGGATTAATCGCGACGCTGCTAATAACTGTCCAGTCTGTCGCCAGACCGGTAGGAATTGTCGTGAACCATTCGCGAGAAACTGCTACCACGTTTCAGCGCCCTTATGCTAACGTGGCTCGCGTTTTTTCACGCGAATTAAAACGAATCGAGAACGATATTTCGGTTTACGCAGCCTCCAAGTCTCTTGCTTCGTTTGATTCCTTTCTGTACGATTTCCTACAATGTTTCTCGTTTCTTTCCACCATATCCGGACATTATTAGAAACTAAACAATCGTTTTAACACTATTTTTATCGATATTTTGTATTATACAATTTAGCGAATTAACTTTTGCATAGAAAACATAGAACGCAGGAGATCATTTTTATTTAAAAGTATGAAGCAAATGTCGTGAAGCGATTGCATAGAAAACATAAAACGCAGGAGATCATTTTTATTTAAAAGTACGAAAAGATGTCCTTTAAGCCCTTTGGAGAGAACATAGTGTTAAAATTGAAAAATTATTAAACGACTATTATAGTCAATTGACGTCTTCAATAGAAATAGTGTTAAGATATTCGTCGGTTGGGGCGAATCGCTTCTCTCGTTCATTTGTATCCAATATTCAACAATTATTTTCCTGATTAATCGTACCAAAAAGTTGATCGCACGTTAGACGATCATCGACTATGCACAAAGTACTGTCGAACTACGGTTATCTGATTCAATTGAGAGAATACGTTCGGATAACAGAACTGATCTTTGGCTGAAGGGCTACCGTACAGTGTGCCCAACAATTAACCGACACTTTTCATTTCGAATTGTGCGTCAGACGCTTGTTCGATGGCGCTGAAATTTAGCACTGTGCGACTAGCGCGTCGAAGGTAATATTCCGTTGAATTTACGTAAATTTTAACAATGTTATTCTGTGCCCGTTGCAGATGTTCCTGGTCTTCGTCGAGCAAGTTCACGCGCTTTTCAAAGGATTTACTGCAATGTTTGTAGCTGAGCAATCGAGAACTTTGTCGCGTTGTCGCCATCTTGTCGCAATTGAAGTCACTTCGAAAATCTAATCGATTGGAATACCTTCGACGTGTTGTCTTACCAATGAAAATTTCAATGAAGATTCTTAAGTAATTCAGGAGATACGAATTTTTTAAATTGTCGGTTAATTATCGGGCACACGGTACAATAAATTATGTTGCAAACGGCTTATCTCAGAACAGTTTCGACCAGTCAGCTGTTGTAATCTCTTTGAAAAGTAAGTACTGTAATTATACTGCATATGTTTGATTTTCTCCATATTTTGTTTAAATACAATAACTTTATAAAGCATGTAATTTAATGAAGAATATCATAGTACAGTAATTTCTTCCTAATTTTCCTTCAGCTTGTAAACGAAAATGAACAATTTGGGAAGAGGAGATACGATTATTCGAGCCTTGCCTCTCGTTTTTATAATTGTTGACAATCGACAATCATAAAAATGTGCCACGAGGCTCGAATAATCGTATCTCCACTTTCCAAATTGTCCATTTTTCTTCGCAAGCTGAAGGAGAATTAGATCCTCCTTGACCATTTAATACACTTGTCAGGAAGAAATGGCAACATTTTTGTTACTACAACTTCGTGACGAGTGTACTAATCAAAAACAGTTAACTGGTTAAGAAGTATATACAGGGAGATGCACGCAATTGTTTCGAATCATAACTTCGTTATTAACGCTAAATCTGCAGAGCAATAATGGTAACTGGTGTGTTTTGACTCATAAGAGTGAGAAGATAGAATTTATTTAGGCTCGGTAAAGTTATATAATTATAAAACTTGCTGCAATAACGTAATTTATTCAATAGTTTCCAACGAAAAAAATTCCGTAAAATTAAAAACCGGTAATTTTGACTGTGATACGTTTAGTGTTAACGCATTTATGGCTCAAAGAGCACTTCATCTATAGGTCATTAGACTTTCTTTAACAAAAAAATGTTTAATTCTCGAGATATTTTCGAAAAATGTCGCTATTCAAGAAGATGCTCAAACGCTTCTGCGCAGTAATGACTACAGAAATTCAAACGCAATTATGAAAACAATAAAAAAGACGTTATCAGAAATGTTTACAATGTAATGAAGAAGCGTTCGATCATCTTCATCAATAAAGACATTTTTTGAAAATACCTCGAGAATTAATCACATTTTCGTCACGATACCCTAATAATTCTTGATGTAGAAACAACAGAGCAATCGATCCGTGCAATAAAAAGATATGCATTTCCATTTGAAGAAATGATGCAATTGTCAATTGCACATGCGCTGATGTATTGAAACAAATCTAAGTGCCTACAGATGCAGCGCTCTTTCAGCCATTTATCTTTCTTCTTTGGCACATTTTCGTAAAAGCATTAATAACGTCGCCACGTATTGAAACATTTCCGCGAATCAACCCGTACACTTTAATATCCTTCATTAAATTGTACATTACATTATTTATACAAATTAAATAAGAAACACATTCGTCTAATGCTCGTGGCCCCACTGTAACAAATTTCCAATGAACTCGAACCGATCAGAAACTTCATTTACCGTTCAGAAAGTTCATTTATCGTTCCGAATAAACAAGTTCGAGATTCTTTCAACAACTACCCTATAGTTCTTCAACGAAGAATCGATCGCAACACAATTTTGCCTACAACCGCGCGTTCTCCTTATCCGTGCATATTACCCAAAGCTGTTCAGCCTAATTCCGGGCACATACACCCTCGTTGAAATCCGAATGACGTACAGCGAAAAACCCCGAAGAGCTCGATCTCGATTCGCCTCGCTTCCGGAACACGCGAAGCTCGCTCGGGAAACGTGAGTCGCACGCAATCGTCGTACACATACATACGCGAGATATGCGGTAATATCGTAAGTCGTAGCGTGGCATGTATTACTATATACACGTGAGTTTACAATGATTCCCGCGTTACATGGCCAGTCTCTCGATCGAGGCCTCCGGCGTTGTGTAGCGAGCAGTTTCGGGCGAGTCGAACCTGTCGGCGTCCTCCAACTCGTCGGTCTCCTCGACCGACTTCGACTCGTCGTCAATCGTTCTGACGGTGGTCGTCGGGGTGCCGGTGGCGTCGATCGAGACGGCCGACGTCGAATCTATCGTGGTGGTCGCGTGTTCGTTCGAGGTCGTCGAGGACGTGTCGTCGTCGACGGCGAGGGACTCGGGCAACGATTTCGAGGTGTCCTCCTCGGCTAGTTCCGCGGAGGACAGGCTCGAGCTTTGGAAAGATCGATCGGAAACGGTCTGAGGAACTTTCGTGGTCGACGATCGAGGGGTTTGACCGTGGACCGTGGTAGGACCGTCGTAGGCGACGGTGACGACGGCGCCGCGGTTCAACGTGGCCTTCGCGCGGTTTCTCGCGTTCGCTTTGCCTACTCTACGCGGATTGGCGGGCACGGCGTAGGAGCCGACACCCTCGTTCCTCGGGGAGGCCGGCTTGGTCCTGCGCCTAGGCGAGGCTCCTCTCCCTGAAGGGGCGGTTGAGGCACCAGGAGACCACCAAGAGGAGGAGGACGTTGCGGAGATCGATGCGGAAGTTGCCGTCGGCGCCGCAGACGTGCTGCCGCTGTCCGGTCTGCCAGCCGAGTACCTCTTCCGGGCCAGAGGTGCCGCTGGCTGGGTCCTCCTCGCTGGTGGCCCCTTCTTCTTTTTCTTATTCCCGTCCGTCAAATTAGGCTTTTTACTCTGACTGATGCTGCCAGCGGCGCCTACTTTTTTTGCGCTTGACGCTGGTGCTTTGTTCTTACCGTTGCTCGCGGTGACGTTCCTGCCGCCGGCCGCAGCGTCGCCGGCCGCCGCCTCGTCCACCCGCAGCTTCCGCTTCTTCGACGGCACCGTGAGCGCCTCCCTTCGGCAGGTTTCCTCGCTCGCGGCGCCCTCGCAGGACCGCTTCGACTCCGGGGTAGTCCCGTTCGAGCGCAGACCTTCGCCCCTGCTCGCCGAGCCAGTCCCGTTCACGCTACCGAATCCGCCACCGACTCCGCTGACAACGCCGTCGCCGTTTTCCTCCGCCACTTGACACTGCGGACCCGGCTTCTCGCCGGCTCGGCACTTCCGTTTCCTCTTCTTTCGCTTCTTTCGCTTGCGACACCTGAACTTGTCCCTGCCGTCCTTTTCCTGGACCGGAAGAGTGGGGCAGAGAGACTGCTGCAGTAAATCACCCCGATGACTGTTATGCCGGTGACGGACGTTGTGCTCCGCGCCCAGCATCCGCCTTTGAAGCGCCTCGACCCGCTCCAACGAGGCCACCTGGGTCAGAACCCTCGCGTAGGCGGACAGCCTGCCCAGGTTGTGACCTTTCGCCTGTACCCTGCGCGGCTGGCCGTGACGGTTCAGACCGAGGTACAATGTCTTCTTCGTCGTCGACCATTTCGCCGAGCTGTACGTGTTGTAGTTGTGCTGCTCGAGGGTCTCGTTGAACACGCAGTCGTCCGTGTACTCGCGCTGCAACAGAAAACAGGGGAGCACACGTTAATGGTTTGATTTGATTTTATTCGCTGTTTGTCGATTGTATGGAAATTTGATAGGATGACGCGGTGTGATAGAATGCAAAATTTAGGGAAGAAGAGAGAAACGTGGTGGAATTATGACTGTACAAGATATGAATCGCTGTACGAGATAAGGTAGTATAGTCATTTCTCCCGGAAATGACGAATTTCGGGTTGCTGTGAATTTCCCTGTGCTGGTCCTACGCCTGTGTTATTTATTGCTACGTCGATGCTAAGGGTAAAATGGACAATTTGGGAAGAGATACGATTATTCGAGTCTTGCGGCTCGTTTTTATAGTTGCCGATTGTCAACAACTATAAAAATGAGAATTAGGGATAATTTTGAGCGCGAATTAGGGAGAAATTATTGTACTAGGTACGTTGAATTATGGCATGTGGCCTCCGAATTGCTTTCGAATGGTGGCAAAAAATTAGAAATAAAAAAGTTAAGTCATCGTTTTTATTTTAGCATTACTATGTATTCATATTAATGTACACCAACTTGCTGGCTGCTGCCTTTTTTGCCAATTGTCCAGAGTTTCTATAAAAACGAGCCATAAGACTGGAAGAATCGCTAATATTCTAGTATTCTCAGATTTGTCAGTTTCAATTCCGAGCATTTCTGGGAGAAATTATTATATATTGATCTAGAGGGTGTCTATCAATAAATATCGTTTGAGATCATAGGTAAATGGTTGATGTTATGGGAAAAAAGAGTCAGACGCAAGAAAAAATATTTTTACTGAATTTGCCGAGGTCATTCGAAGGTTATTTCAATTCTTTGAAATGGAATGCTGTAACTTCTTTCGTCTCGTTACAATGAAAGAACATAAAAAAAGAACGAATTCAAGTAGTACTTGCAGGTGACTTTGAAGAGATCTTACAAGTCGTAAAAAGAAAATTACACGAACGTATCCTCAGTATTTATTAACCCTCTTCCCTCGAATGGCGACTCCGAGGCGCCATTAAAAATTGAATGTCACGTTTGAAAATAATGTTATTAATCAAATTTGTTTATATTTGAACAACTGTTGAAAGGATAATTGTTGCATCACTCTCAAAGTTCAATTTCATACGTATTATATGCATTAGGTTATATAAAATGGAAATACAATGCATTAGAAAAACTAACAAACATTTTGCGTTAGTTTGTCTTTGAGTGCAAAGGGTTAATTCAAGTAGTGTTTCGTTAATAGAAATGATTCGATTTGTTTTCGGCCATAATTTATTTTACATTTCTCGAATAAGGCATGTTGCATAATTCCATTAAAAAGTAAACACAATGGAAGAATGAAAGAATGTGGTACGTCCGAAAATATGCCAAAGGCACAGCAATAAGTCACCCCACAGTAACCGGTTCCACTATCCTATTTATTTCTTTAATCTCTCTAAACGGTTACGAGAATAATACCAAATATGGTGTAACTAATTATTATTATTATTATTCTTGTCAAATTGACGACTAAAAATTGATGACCTCCAGAAGCTAAGAATCTTCTAACGAGCACCTTATAAAGCACTTAGCAATGTTCAGTCTCGTAGAACGTAAAAATACGCTAATCGATTGAAAACGATTATAGAGCCTAAGCAGTCGTAATTTAGCGGCAACGTGGCATTTCAGTAGAACAAGGAAAAACGAAGTATATATCCTAACTCTCGTGTTTATTATTAACGTTCAAGTAGACCGGCAGCGTCGCGCATACGCGAGACACGAATTTTCTGCATGAAATGCTTGGATCGCGCTGCCAGCGCCGAACCGTGGCTAACCATGAATAACCATGGAACCCGTCTTTTGTTTGTTAAACGCAGCTGTGCATCAGTTAAAGAGAGCGCGCCGCATTTAATAAGATATCGCACGGTAAAAGTTCTCTCGTTGGATCAACCTCGTGGAATCATTGAAAATGAAGAACTAAGAGGAAATTGTTTTCATGCGTCGATCGTATCGCCGTCGGAGGAATATCCGTCGGGGTATTCCTAGAAGTTCCGGAGTACCGCGGCGATCGTTATCAATTTCACGGGGTTATTACTCGTCATTATCACGTTGTAATTGCACGGTCGGGGGTTAGGAGACCGTACCCGCGTACTCGTCGCGCGAGAGCTCTGTCTTCCGTTTAACACGCAATTCCGTCTGGCAGTTGGCCGCCGTGAAACGGGGCTAACGCTGAGCGAAATATGAACGGCGCTTCCCGAAGGAGGCTAAATGAGCATTAAGCATAATGCGGAACCAGCCCGACCGGCCTGCCGCACCACCGGCCTCACACCGAGCATTACGTTTTCGCTAGCTTCGTGCCTCCGCGCTATGATTTCGCTGTCCGGCTTTATGGCAACTCGTTTCTAGTAGAGTGGAAGCGGCCGCGGTCTTCATCGGCTCTAATTACAGCGTTTAAACGTTCACGCCGCCGGAAAAATCATCGCGAACACAAGCGAGCCGAGCGTAAAGATACAAGCGAAACGCGAGGCCGACTTTACGGCGCCGAAACCGCCCTACGCCACCATTATTTTCTCTCGAATTCATGGAAGCCGTATGTATGGCCGGCCAAATTGAAATTGAACAGTTGCGGTCTGAGGTTACTATGATTTAATCAGGCATTTACCATAACATTATATGTACGTATAACTCGATTATATTCGCACGCGTGACTTTGAAACCTGTCCAGATAACGACCTGGGTGATATTATTCGAAAAATCAATGGAAGCTGTTGGTGAAATACTTTTTGCTTGTATGAAATAATATATTAAATCGAATACGAAAATTTCGCGGAAATAATATTCGAACGTTTAATCTCACGCACGATAAAGAAATTATTTTATTTCAATGAAGTATTTCGGGTACATATTATTATAAGATCTGTATTTTAAATATTTCAGTGAAGTATTTTGACTAGTATTTTTCATTGAATGCAGAAGTAAGTTACTATTTTAACACATTGAATGTGGAATATTAACTCGAAAAATTCACATAGTATCAAAATCATTTAATTACATGACACAGAGAAACTTAAAAGTAAACATTTACCGTAAGAAATATTGGTTCAGCTATTTTGTACTCTACAAATCCTAGTAACATTCAATTTGTTCAATATATTACAATGAAAATGAATTTCAAAGACTTAGTTAAAAATTAGTGTCACCTATACGCGACTCACGCGGCACTGAACGTATTAAATGAGGCATATGTAACGCAGTCGAGAGTAATAATATTTGCAAATGTTTGGATTTTCTCGTTGAAATATTTTTTACCCAAGTCTGTTCGGAACTGCTGGGAAATATAAATGTTATTCTTACACACCATGAAACTGTGTATTAAATTCTACTCAATTGTCTCACTCACACAATTTCGACCATTACCAAACTTATTTTTAGAGCAACTTTGTGTACGCAATATTCAGAATATGCAACTTCTGTGCAAACTGTGTAAGAAATATGCATATGAAACATATGCAAGAAAAGGAAATATATTATTTATATCCTGTAATGATGAAACATATTTCAGCACAAGTTTCATTTGTCTAGTTCATTTTTCTAAAATATGCATTTGCATGAACTTCCGCAGTCTACTGATTACATGCGAACAGTATTTGCATAATTGTGGATATTGTATGTCCGGATAATCGATCTTCCACTGTAATTATCTTTAGTTCTGTTACTAAAAGAGTTATTTTAACATTTTATCCACCGGAAGTCTGTTGATAGAGTTTTCAATTATTCCGCTAAACTAAGAGGAGACTTAAAATTCCTGTTCTACATGACAATCTTAAACGAAACTATCCAAATTTCCTTCAGCTTGTAAACAAAAATGGACAATTTGGGACGAGGAGATACGATTATTCAAGCTGTACATATATACGATACTCATTTTTATAGTTACCGATTGTCAACAATTATAAAAACGAAATGCAAGGTTCGAATAATCGTATCTCATTTTCCCAATTTGTCCATTTTTGTTTACAAGCTGATGGAAAATTAGGGAGAATTTACTGTATTACTTTATGACACTGGGGATGACTAGTTGGTATACGATTGAAATTTCTACCGAGTTGGGTAATATTAATAGAGAAAATATTTGACACATTATTTTAAATAATACATTCTTCACAATTCAAATAAAATAGTACTTCAAGTAGGACATAAGTAGAT